AAATATGTGGGGGTGGGGAAAAGGGCAATCTGCTCTTGGAAACAAAACCTGCCATTGAGCTGAGGCTGGTGGGAGGAGGTAACAGTCTCCTGATAGTGTGGACAGGGCCAGTTTAAAAGCAGTGCACTTTCTCTCTTGATAATTAAGCCAATTGTTTCCTGCCCCCATGGAGATAAGTTTGCCAGAAGCACTCAGTGGGTCATAGATGCAATGAAAGAGGCAAATTCAATTCTGTTTTTCCTTAGTGTAGGGGCAAAGATGTCTGGGGTGCAGTGCATATGTTTTGCCCCACTACAAGCACTTGTGTGATTTGTTTATACTTTTTGGTCTTTATTTTTGCTCTGTTTGCCCTGCCAGTGTAAAATATTGTGCTAACCACAATATTGGGTGCAATTAGTAAGGATAGGGGGAGGGGGAGGCTGTGTATGAGCCCGAGGACTGGGGAAAACCTTCTCCTCTGACCAAAGGAGCCTTGTAAGTCCTTGAGCTCATCAGACACTCCACCCCCACCCCCCTCACATACTACACTGAGGAATGATGGCTTGGTTGGTTGTCTGAATGCATGCCCCTTTCTTTCTGGACTCCAGTACAGTACTCAGTGGGTGCCCTGTTAGAAAATTCAGAATAAAGCAACTGCTGTAAATCTTTTACTTCCTTGTTTCTAGAGCTACAAAATTACTGGCAGTATTCTTTTGGGGGGGGGAGGGGGACAGCTTGGTGGGTTTACCGCACAACCTCATTAAACTGACCTTTTCATTCTAAGCAAGCAAGTTCCACAATGGGTTAGTTAAAAAGGCCGGTGTTCTCTTCCAGTGGTAGTTCAGTGGAATGCTGCCAGCTGTGAGTTCTGTCTTGTATCTGTTTTGCAGTTAAAACTAACAAAGGGGAACTGGCCCTATTTCCTCACTGATATAATTGGCTGTGGAGAGCTGGGTGTGTATTGAGCAGTGCAGATTTTCCACTTATTTCCTTTTGAACATGTCAACTTTATTTTGGAAAACTTCTATTCTGTGCAGGATCTTCTCTATTCTCTTGTGCTGCAACTTTTTCTTTGTCTTTCTCTCGGCAATCTTCCTTTCTGCTTATTGAGTTACAGTGTAGGACAACACTGGGGCAAAGTGTTGTACAAACATGTACAGCTGAATCATATACCTCTAGCCCATCGTGGTCTACTCCAGCTGCCAGTAGTGACTCTTCAAAGTCTCAGCTTGAGTTTTTTTCCAGCGCTGCTACTTGAGATCCTTTAAACTGGAGATGGCAGGGATTGACCCTGGGACCTTCTGCTATGCAAACCAAGTGCTGTACCACTGAGCTTTGGCCCCTCCTCTTTCTGTTCCTTGACCAAGAGTGCTGTGAAGAAGTTGCACAAGTTACAAGATTGATAGTTTTGATGTCTTCCCTGGCAAAAGATGGGGGGGGGGGGCAAAGAGCCATGCAGGGTTCTGAAGTTCACCCCCGTAATAGTGGTTAAGAGTGGCTGACTCTAAGCTGGAGAGCCTGGTCTTTTTCCCCACTCCTCCACATGAAGCCTGCTAGGCCAGTCACAGGTCTCTTAGAACTCTCTTAGCCCACCTGCTTCACAAAGTGCCTGTTATGGGGAGAGGGAGGGAGGGGATTGTAAGCTGCTTCGAGACTCCTTAGGGTAGAGAAAAGTTGGGTATAAAAACAACTCTTCTTCTTCTTACCTAGTCCATCATCTGAAATTAATCTCAATTTTTGTTAATATTCATACCATTCATTCATGTGTAACATAGGTGCAAATTAATCTTTAGCAACTGGTATTTTTGCTGTCTGAATTTAATATTTTTAGTTATGGCACATCCATATTCTTGGGCTTTTGACCGGTCTATTTTATTAAACAAGGAGTCCAGTAATTAAGAATGGTACTTAATTTTTTTAGGCATTTGGTATACCCTGGTGTTCATTTGGCTGCCCTAAACATCTCCTGCTACCTGGACTTGATTGATAAATTACTTCTTTAGCTTTTTCAATTTTTCACAGAATGTGATTTTATTATTTTATTTGGGTGGCTGCCCAGTAACTTACATCAAATCAACCTATTAATGCAAGTAGTTAGTGGTTTCAAGTGCTAGTCAGTAGTGCAGACTCTTTAAAAAGGAGGCAGGTCTGTTTCCTGGAGAACAGTCTAGGGCAAGTGATGCTCTGTATTCTTGGTAGAGATGTAAAATTTCCGGAAATTTTGAAGCTCGGAAAAAAACCCGGGTTTTTTCCGTTTCCCCCTGGAAAAAAACGGAAATTTTCGGGAAAATTGAAAAAAATGCTACATTAGCATTTCTTTTGTCTTTTCTAGATTGAAAGTCATAAAAAATGACTATGGACATTTTTACTTGGCATGAAATTATCACAACTAGCATATTAAAAATATAGTGTACTCAAACAATTATTACAAACAGAATACCCACCCACATGCAAAAACAAAACTGAAACCTTTTTATTTTCTTCTGACAATCGCACCTCCTAAAGGAAGAAATGCATCTTGTTCTTGCATTGGAGAGTTCAGTTTGTAACCTAGGACTTGCTTGTCCTCAGTGCACAGAAATTAGATCAATCTGATACCATTATATATTTTAGAAATGATTTGGAAAATATTTGAACACCTTGTCTTAAAATATTTTATTTATCATGTTAAAATAAAACATTCCATAATCAATTTCTTTTCTTTTCTTTTCTTTTTTCAATTTTTCCAATTTTTTGGAAAAAAACAAGCTTCAGGGGAAAAAACGGGAAACCCCCGTTTTCCCCCCGAATTTTTCCGTTTTTTTTCCGGGCCTTCACATCTCTAATTCTTGGTAGGCTTACCAAGGTCCGGCGGGGGAATCGTATTTCTTGGCAGGAGCCTTGCCGCGGGGACGGCTCCACGCGCTGCACCCGCCGTCGCCAGGATGTGACGCTCCACGTTGCTCTGGCAACGGGGCTGTTTGGAGTCCCGTTGCCAGACCGACGCGGAGCATCACATCCTGGCGATGGTGGGTGCAGCGCGTGGAGCCGTCCCCGCGGCAAGGCTCCTGCCAAGAAATACGATTCCCCCGCCGGACCTTGGTAAGCCTAATTCTTGGTGCTTGGGGGGGCAACAGTGGGGGGGGCTTCTAGTGTCCTGGCCCCACTGCTGGACCTCCTGATGGCACCTGGTATTTTTGGCCACTGTGTGACAGAGTGTTGGACTGAATGGGCCTTTGGCCTTATCCAACATTGACTTCTCTTATGTTCTTATGTTCTAATTTAGACTGTTCCCAAATTAGGGTGTAGCTGGAAGTTTAATTGCTTAATTTTCATTTTTCAAGAGGCCTATACTGTGTGAATCCACTTTAAAAGAGATTTAGTTGTAGATGGGATTCTCTGCATTGGTGGTGTGCTGTGATTGGCTGAATCTGATAGTAAGGCCTTTTTGGGTTTTGCAGATGCTACTGTGTGTGGGTCTATAGTTATTGCCTCTGGGTGTTAAAATGACGGCAGATAAAAAAGCAATAAGCAGAGTAAAAGATTTTTTTAGTTGTTACAAAAATACTTGAGCATAACATATCCTGGTTGCAAAGAAGTGTATATTTCTCACATTGATAGTTAATACCCTAATTAGAAATAAGGTTTCTAGGCATTACAGAAAACTTTATTGTCTCGAGCTAAACGTCCAATAAATGTCTAAAAGTTATTTTGTAATCTGTACATTGTGGTCAGGAAGAGGCTTTTTCTACCAAGCTCTGTGTGTCTATTCTTACAACATAAAGTTCTCTGGGCTCATGAAAACTGCTCCAACTAAATGCTAGCTGGGATAAAAATCCTACCTTTAAGTGAGCACAGGTGCTCTTAAAACAACAACCACCTCACTTTGGAGCAGCAGACCCTCGTGTTGTGTCATAAATTGCTTTTCCTTCCATTTCAACTGTGGTTTGCTGCGCAGCATGTGGGGCTGCTCTTCTCTGAAGGGGGAGGCCTGGGCACATGGAACGTATTTCAAGGTTCTTAAAATCCTGGCCAGCATGTTGGGTGGGGAGAGATTTGTTTTCAATAAGTTTTTTGTTGTGAGCAATGCAGTGGGTGGCTGTTTGAGTCTTAGTTTTTGATAACCGTGCTTGGATCTCATGAAACTTCTCCCTAGACCTGACTGGCTTAATGACTCTAGAATATGTTGTTTGTTTTGGGGGCCTGTTAATAGAGCTGCAGCTCCTCTCATACTCTTCCAAGGCACTGTGTTTAAAACCCTTGTGGTTGAGTAGAGCTTTGAAAGTTGGGCCTTGTTATAGTTTTTAGATAGAGGAAAGAGAGTATAAGTATTATGTTTGTTTGGCATATTCCTGGAATGTTGTGGGTCCCCCCCCCCCATCTTGGCAAAGTAAATGAATTGGCTGGTGTTCATTCATCATGGCTGTATGAAACTATATGTTCAGTAAGATGACTGTATTGTATTTTTTTTGTATTCTAAAAAAAGTATAAGTCACATTGTAGTTTATCTGAAATGGCTTCCAAAGGCAATCAAACTATAATAAAACAAAAATGTAACCAGCTAATAACATACAAACCCACTACAGTCAGTCACCTTTATTACAACTAAAAATTCAGCCCTGAGCAATAAACTACTTTGAGTGTATAACAGTTTTACAGAAAGCCAATAACAATAATTTTTCAAAACCCCCATAATCAACCAACAATAGAAATTTTATTGCAATGTAACTAGCTCCGTATTTGGGAGGCTCCAAGAGCTTGTTGGGGAATAGCCTCCTTCCAGAACTTTATAAATATCACCAGGGAGTTAGGTCTGCACACCTCATTTGGCAGGCCATTCAACAGGGAGGGAACTGCAGCTGAGATGACTGTGGATCTTATAAAAGTTAAACATACTTTCCAAAAAGAGGATACTTCAGGCATTGCATTACTTTGTTTTGTGCAGGAAAACAGAGAAAAGCATTTCCCAGCTAGATAGGAGGCTATTCACACTGAGATACCTGAAAGTACTGCATGCATAATCTGTTGGATTTTTTTTTCAGCGCTAGACGTGGTCAGTCATGGCGGGTGATGCCATCATGGTGATGAGAGGGCTGGCGAAGCTTAGTAAGGCAGTCGTAGAAGCACAAGCAGGACAACTCCGGCAAGTTATCTTGGGTGGTGATGCAGCAACCATAGCCAGGAGTTTTCAGGCTACTGCTGAAGAACAATTTAGTGCTGCCATGGGGAAGATGCAGGTAAGAACATGCATGGCTGTGTTTGTGCGTGTGTGTGTGTGTCTTCCTTCCCACATTGGTATGGACTTACCTGTTGCTGGTTTCTACCTCCACGTCTTTTATGTATTTGAGAGTCAGTGTGATGTAGTGTTTATAGGTCTAAGGAAAGCCAGGTTTTAAAACCCTGCTCACCATGAAATTCATTAGGTGGTGATGGGTCAGTCATTCTCTGTTAGCCTAATCTACCTCACAGAGTTTTTGTAAGGATGAGAAGGAGGAAGGAGAGAACCATATATGCCATCCTAAGTTATAAAACAACTATGTGAAAAGTTGCTAAGAATTCTAACACACAAGAGTGGATTCCAACTAAATTTTCCATTGATGGCCTTTACCTGCAGACCACTGATAAAAACATAAGAGAAGCCATGTTGGATCAGGCCAAAGGCCCATCCAGTCCAGCACTTTGTGTCACACAGTGGCCAAAACCCAGGTACCATCAGGAAGTCCACCAGTGGGGCCAGAACTCCAGAAGCCTCTGCAAAATGCTGCTACTTGGGGGTCCAGTGGCACTCGGGAACAGCACAAGGGTCTAATTTGTGGTCTGCAGTGGGCTCTCCCTCCGTCTTACAGGGATTTACAGGTGTGTAAACAACACACGTGCAATGGCTGTGTGGAGAGATTATTATACTTCTGTAAAATCCTGAAGAAGATCGGGGGAGGGGAAACAATAGTAGAGGACATTGTTTCTTTGAATCCCTAATGTTTAACTGATGTCTTCAGTTGAAGGATCTTCTTGGGTAGCAGGTGTTGCAAGAGAGACTTTGGAGAGTTGCTGTAGTCACAGTAGGTAGTACTGAAGTAGGAGGACCAAAGATCTGATTCTGCATAAGTCATGTTCATATGTGGAAAATGTGTTCTATTAGGTTATTTCTTTTAATACTAAAATCTTTCTCAGGGGCAGCTGTGAAACAAGTCTTTGGTTCAAAATATACTGAATTTGATTGCTGCATCATGCAGAAAACCAGTTAACAAATCAGAAGCCAACTTTTGGAATGCACACTCATTCATATTTACAGTCACAACCATGGCTGAGCAGTTCTTTGGTATCAGTGCTAAATGTGAGTCAGGCTAACCAGGATGTGAACCTATCTTTGGACCCTGGATTAAAGAGAAGCCTGGTTAAATTAAGCAGGCTGAAAATTAAGCATCTAAAAATGCCAAGTGTCAGTGAGGCAGATTAATTTTAGAAATAAGTATCACAACTTGAGACCCAAGAGGAATCATAGGAGAGGGGCAATAACTTTGAAATCCCTCCTGATCTGAAGATCTCGCTCTTCAGCATTCTCCAAGCTTTCAGGGGGTTAAGGCACCTTACGTCCTTCCTCTGTAAGTGCCAGTTTGGTGTAGTTGTTAGGAGCACGGACTCTAATCTGGGAGAATTGGGTTTGAATCCCCACTTCTCCATGTGCAGCTGCTGGTGTGACCTTGGGTCAATCATAAGTTATTTCAGAGTGGTTCTCAAGGGCAGTTCTCAAGAGAGCTCTCTCAGCCCCACCTACCTCGCAGGGTGTCTGTTGTGGGGAGGGGAAGGGAAAGAAGATATGTAACCCACTCTGAGACTCCTTCGGGTAGTGAAGGGTGGAATATAAATCCAATCTCTTCTTCTCCCCCCCAACATTCCCTGCATCCTAAAGTGTATTCAGTCCTTATCAGCCTTTTGTGTATGAAGGGGAGGGGCTTTTATTTTGGTTAGCTTACAATGGCAAAATTAGATTTGTTGCAATGCCATATAGCAAGTGGTCCCAGGGTATGGTTGGAGGGCACAGGAGAATAGCAACTTGCAAAAACTGTCCTAATACCTGGATGGGAGACCACCTGAGAATCCAACATTTGCCCTCTTGAGTTCCATGGGGAAAGAAAGACCGGATATAAATGAAATAAACATATATGGCTTTGGAGGAGGTAGCTGTGTTTTCTACTATAATAGTATCTGCCTAAAAATCTGTAGTGTGTTGCTTCTCAAGTGAATGCCTTCTGCTGAAGGTGGGAAGGAGGGGAGCGTTTTATAGTAAGTGACTTTGTTTTCTGTTCCTTGCTGCTCGTGCCAGCATTTTACTACTTGTAGCCTTTTCAAACTAATTTTTATTAATGTTGGAAGAGAAGTGTTTCCATTATGTACCTTTGTGTTACTGTGGTAGAATCAGCCAAGAGGGGAGTTTAAAAAAAAATCTTTCCATGCTGAAAATGACAGCAAGCCTGTACTCATAATAGGAAGGGCTAGAACTAGTTTTACTTCCTCTAAATGGGAAAAAAAATGGAAACGTTTGCTGTAGTGACATCAAGTCCTTACAGTGTAAAATCTAAACACTGCTCTACTGTGGACATCTTTCCTAATTTTTTTTATTCTTTTCAGTGCTTTTATCCTTTGTATCTGCAGATTTGTTTTTGCAAAGGAGTAGAAACCAGTGGTCTCACAGGGTGGGCTTACTATTTCCGGTCAAACTTGGACCCCAATGCACTGTCCATCCACCAGCAGTTCTTCCAATTAAATGGCATTTCCATTTGCAAAGGAAGGGGAGGTGTGTTTTTGCTGATTACTCCCTTCCTGCTTCAGACTCCTCGTTTGCTCTCCTCACTGACCCTGCAGGTTTCCAATTTCAGGTGACACAGAAGGCTGCAGGGGGGCAAAAGCTGCCTTCCTCAAGTGCAAGTCCTCTCACACTAATTAGGGTCCGTGTTTTACTTAATCTTTCCCCACCATAGCAAAACAAAACCCCTCAATTCAGTGAAACTCCAGATATTGTAGTCCCAGTTTATTATGATGAACACAGTAAACGCAGTTTGAGAGGGCAGTACTGTTGGTCTGCAGTAGAACAGCTAGATTCAAGTTCAGTAGTAATTATTTTATTTATTATAATTTCAATTTATATAACGCCCTTCCCTGAATTCACAGAGCTCAGGAAGATTAACAAACAGAAGATACAGAGTATGATTCCCAAAAAATAAAACAATTAAAAGCTAGCAGTAACATCAGGCAGTGCCAAATACAATATGTATAACTGTCTTGCAGCAGGCGAAAGAAAGCAGGGTGGCGGAGGGAGGGCCAGATAAGATGGAACCTATTGCTTTCCTCAGCCAAAAGCCTGGCAGAACATCTCTGCCTTGCACACCCTGTGGAACTGCGTAAGGTCCCCGCAGGGCGAGGATGTCGTTTGGCAGAGAGTTCCACCAGATGGGAGCCAGGGCTGAAAAGGTTGAGGGCAGCCTGATGTCTTCAGGGCCAGGGATCACCAGTAGGCAGTTCTCTGTAGAGACCAACAAGATTCACAGGAATATAAGCTTTTGAGAGTTAAAGCTCCCGTCCGTCAGATACGAGTTGGAATGGAGATAGCAGACGAAGATCTCCATTCCAGCTGGTGTCTGATGGCAGGAACTTTCTCTCTAAAGCTTATACCCTGTGAATTTTGTTGGTCTCTGAGGTGCTACTGAACTTGAATCTAATGGTAAATTTAATGTGTTTTGTACAAAATGGAATTAAGAACACTTCTGCCAAACTGTCTAATTTTATAAGAGCATACACATTGGAAGGCCTTTTTTTATGGAGTATGAGAGCAGCAGAGAGCAATTTTTGGTCTTCATTTCAGTGGAAAAGAATCCATTGTGTTTTTATTTGCAGGAATTGGGCAGACGGCAGGAGAATTTGAAAGATCTCGATGAGGACTTTGGAAAAGACTACAGCTTCTCAGAATCGGAGTTGGGGGGTGCTGCAAAGGACTTCTCTCCTCAAGACCAGCCTCAGAAGCACGGTGGCACAGAGGGCCCATCTTACGCTTATGCTTCCAGTGGACCTTTCCCAAATGTTGTTAAGATGGGTGACTCCAGTCATAATCCGAATCCCATCTCTGCCAAAGTGGATGCAAAGCTGTTTGGAGGGTTTAGGGACCCTGGGTATCCTTTCTCTGCCACCTGTGGGCAAAGCAGGGCTTTTCATCAAGACCATTCCTCTGTTGGTGGACTAACAGCTGAAGACATTGACAAAGCCAGGCAAGCCAAAGCGGATCCACAGCACAAACCACACAAGCAGATGGTACGTAGGCTGTTCAGTAAGACTGGAGGATTAGGAGCTGCCCTTTTCCCAGCTGCTCCGTCCAACCTGAATGTGTTGAATGTGACAGTGGTGTCTGGGTGGTTTTAAATGACTTCTGCCTGTAAAAACAGATTTGTAGAGCATATCCACAGCTCACCTGATAGCATAAAGAAAAGCACTTTAGAAAAAGCTTTCTCTTGAGAAAGTAACAGGTGGGCCTCGTGGACTCTGTGCTGAAGGTGATACCTGTATTTGGATCTACCTGCTTATTGCCAAGGCTCTCTGTGCTGAGCTACATTCACAACTGCTCCTTTAACCCATGTAAACATATGGGGTGATCAGCGTGGGTGGAACTCCCTGTGCATACACATTGTAAGGATCAGGCAGGCTAAAATGCTGCATCTGAATTCCTAAATAAAAGCTGCATGGTCGTTCCTGTCCAGTTGTTAGCCTGCCTCCCCCAACTGTCCATTTGTTTGGAGAGGCCAAAATGTCTGCCCAGAAATAGAGCGGTGGTTTTTAACTTTCAACAGGTGTACACCTTCCTTTTGCTGGCCACTTGATATACTGCTAGATGCCTAGCATGGTTAAGGAGCTATACTTGTTGTTTTTGTGTCCCCCAAGCTGGAATCCGGAACAGGTGCAGCTTCCTACAGGTTTGTTTAAAAAGCAAGGACTCTTTCTCCCCCGTACCCCATCAGGATGCAGCTCTGTCTGTGGGAGTTGTGCAGGCTTCAAGCTGAAAATTGAAGCTGATGGTTTAATCAGGAAGTGAACCGTTGCAGTGGAGTACTCTTCTGTATCAAGGAAACATTCTTTAGCAGGGTGTCTTGACATACCTTTGTTTTAGGCATAAAGTAGTACCTTTTGTAATGATTTATATAACTTACAGTCATACATTTGGTTCTTTCCCTCCCTTTCTTCACTGTACCTAGAGGCTGTTATTACAAATTCCCCAGCATTGTAAGCCAGCATTGTAAGCCACCTTCAACCACAGGGAAAGGCAGGGTATAAATGTTTTAATGAATAAATTCCTACCTGAAGCCATCTGTTGCTACCCTGCAATGGCAAGCCGAACTGGGATTGTATGATCCAGTATGGGGAATTGACTGTGTATACTTGATACTTTAAAAAGTTGGACATTTGGGGAAGCATTCAGTAATTTCTGTTTGGAAATGAGTGAAATGCTTTTTAAGGCAAGGTTTTAATCAAAATATTTATGTCTTATATAAGTTTTTAATTAACAGCATTAGGAATAATTCCTGTGTTTACTGGTGATAATATACAGTCTTCTCAAGGATATGTTTATGGGTTAATTGTGTCTAAGTTTGTCCACAATTGTTATGGTATAATGTTTACAATAACACACTGTTGGAAGCGTTAATTGTTTTCAATGTTAAAAAAGTCTAACGTTTTGTTTTTTAAAAATTTATTTAAGTTTTATTGTTAACATACAAGCTACACAACATTATGCAGTGTAACAGTGAAAACAGAGGAGGTTACACCAAAACTATATCAACGAGCTGAAAACACACTTATAATAATTCGCTGAGCTGTACATCAGTATAAACAGTTTAGAGGAGCTCTGTAAAACACATTGTTTAGGAAGTATCGTCTACTGGTAAGAATCATGAACCCACTTAAGATTCAAAAAGTTTAACGTGATAGCCAGATATGCTACTGTTCCCATTGTGACTGATTCAGTCCAAATAATGCTTTCTTTCAGTTACTACAAAATTTACATCTTCTATTTTCAGATTTTATTTTGTTCCTATTACTTAGATATCGCAATAGTATACATATTGAAAAGTACAGCAGGCTGCAGTAGTTCGCATGTATACACTGTTGCTAAAATACTGGATTTACTCATGGTTTTGCTTATAGAAAACTCAGACCTTTATATGCTTGTATCATGTATGTATCAGGCAGTATCATTTTATATGCTGTATTAACTATACATTCATTTTATGATGTTAGAGGAACAAAATAAGTTCAGGGTTGGGAATGGCTATGGCTCAGTAGAGCCTCTGCTTGGCACACAGAAGATCCCAAGTTCAATCCCCAGGATCTCCGATTAAAAGGATCAGGCAGTAGCTGATGTGAAAGATATCCGCCTGAGACCCTGGAGAGCTGCTTCTGGTCTGAGTAGACAATACTGACTGTGATGAACCAGTGGTCTGATTCAGGATAAGGCCGTTTCATGTGTCCATGATAAGAAATTAAGTATTGCAGATATTTCAGTTTTTCCCAAAGCTTGTTTTTGTTCTGGTAAAAAAACTTAGCTCTCATCTCCCCCCCCCCTCCATGGCTTCACAATTTATGGAAGTTTTTCATCTCTGGGAAGCTAATAATGAAGCTGCCTTCCTTGCCACAATAAAGAACAGGTTTCATAATGCAGGTGCAGTGCTGAAAACGTCCCACAGTCATAGCTGTAGGTTGATGGTGAGTGGGAACCATCAGTGGTGACCGTTGAGGTGTCCTAAGCGAGCACATGGATTCCTATGGAAAGAGGTGGTCTTTCTCTCTTGTTGCAGAAATTGCATTCTTATGAGTATTAGCCACATCAGTTTTATGTTTTCTTCAATCCTTGCAGCTCAGTGAACGTGCCCGGGAGCGGAAGGTGCCAGTTACTCGAATTGGGAGACTTGCTAACTTTGGAGGTGAGTGAATTTTTGTGGTACATGCCAGCATGAAGATAGATAGCCCTGAAGCTGGAATTTAGCCATAGTAGTACAGTGTATCATTTTTGAAC